TTCATATGACTCAGCCATCCCACCCCTAGGTAATTACTCAGGAGACATGAAAGCATATGTTCATACAAAGACTTCTCAGGAATGTTCATAGCAGCTTTGTTTGTAGTAGCTGAAAACTGGAAATAATTCAAATGCTCATCAGCAGATACATGAATAAACAAATTGTGGTACAGCCAAGCAAATAGAAGTAACTCAGAGATAAAAAGAAATGAACTATTAAAAGATGCAAAAGCATGGAAGAACCTCACAATAATTATGCTGAGTGAAAGAAGCCACCCCCCTCAAAAATGTACAGTCTTATTTCCATTCATATATAATTCTAGAAAATGCAAAATCATTTATTGTGACAGAAAGCTGATCAGAGGTTGCTTGTGTCACATATTTGCAATATAAATTACAGGAAACACTTGGAAAAATTATCCTAGGCAATGGATTATAACCATCCAGCCTAGCACTGGCATGTGATCAAACTCAGGGGGATGTGTGGAGGAATGAGAGGCCCCTCCCCCAGATTCCCATTGGTGCTCAGCTTAGAATTGATGAATCCAATGTCTTCATTATTTGTCCACATCAATCCAGAGACTGACTCTCTGGAATCAAGTACCAAGAAAATAAATGTCTTAGCTTCAAATCTACCATTCTAGACAATCTGTTTTATTAATAGTTTGTGTAGTTCAGGGCACATATTCACATGTGTGAGGGTGACTTTATTGTTTTGCATTTGAAAATTTAAATGCTTCCATAAGGGCAAAATATGCAAAAATGAAAGAATAGACTGAAAAGGACAAATAAGAGATGAAAGAAATAAATAACATTTGGAAAAAAAATACAGGGTGGTAGAAGTCTATTTGTAAGGCTATCAATAAGTCATTTACTTATAATTATTAAAGTAATAGTATTATAAATCATAAGATATTTATTCATTTAGTGGGCAAATTAAGTCTATTGCAAGTTTTAAATACATTGACTTCTATCATTTATTATTAGATTAATGGGCCAGACTCCAAACAGACATTCTAATCATTTCAAAAGAATAACAAATGTATTAAATATGCTTTATGAGGTACAAATTTGTAGTTGGGTTTTTAGCATAATAATAAATCACTTATAAATGCTTTATTTGGTTCTCCAGCTTTAATACTTTCATTATTGTATTGAGTTTGGGTTATGTTACTTATCCCAACTATTTTTTCTAATAGATGGTGTGGATTATGTTAGAAAAAATGACTATGCATGACTCGAATAGTTATTCTTAAAAATATATGCAGTGTGTGTGTATGTGTGTGTGTTTTATGAAGAAGGGTTTCTATTACAGACTATAGTCCTTGCAGGTTTCTATACCAAATTAGGGGGAAAATGAGGCAAAAATGGTAGACAAAGGAAGATCTAAATTATTTCATCCCAAATCATCTGCAGGATGGTAGAGGGGGAAGAATTCGAATTTAATCAAAGCTCCTTGACTGTAACCAGGAGCTCCCTCTCCTGAAGTAGTTTCTAATGGGTGGGTGATCTTTTTCAGTAGAAGAAGGAAAATAAGACTGAACTGAGAAGTCATTAAAACATAGACTTTTAGAGTTGAAAGACCTAAGTTCAAATGTTAGCTCAACCACTGAGAGGCTCTAAGACTCTGGATAATTTACTATGCCTTTCAGAGCCTCCATTTCTTCATCTGTAAGACAGGGATAGTAGTAATAGTACCTATGTCCTAAGGCTGTTGTGAGGATTCAGTTAAGTAATGAACGTAAGGTGCTCAATAAAATGCCCAGTACCTAAAAAGTGTTCAATAGCTGGAAGCTATTTTACAAATAGAAGCAGGTCACACATGGATACGGCACAGGTCAGAGCAAAAAGTTCAGAAGTAAAGCTTTGACCAGGGGGAGGAGTAGGCGACTGGCTTTTCCATAAGCCACAGAGGCTGGGGGACAGCTTGGAGGCCCCGATAGCTTAAGCTTGGTTGTCCGTTATAGTAACCACTGGCCAATGTTGCTATTTAAATTTAAATTTATTAAAATTGAACAAAATTTAAAATTCAGTTCCTCAGTCCCACTAGCTATGTTTTAAGTGCTCACTAGCCACATGTGACTGATGGCTACTACTTTGCCGAGCCCAGATATAAACCCATCTTGGCAGAAGCTTCTATTGGACGATGCTGGCTTAATGGGTCCATCATGGGCTGAACATCAAGGTAAGGTTCACTGTAACTGTGGTTAATTTACTTAGCATCTGCATCAAATCTAATCTTCTCTCTACTCTTTGATTCATTCATCTTTAATTTTACAGAATCTGAGATTTGTCAAAACTCTGTAATGCAAGATTCTGTGCAGTCTTTCAAGATGTAAGAATATTTTTGATCACTGTTTATACCAATGCATGTGAATGCATTCAGAGAGATTCTCTGAAGGAGGCTGTCCTTGCTTTCCTTGACTGAGTTTTCTGAAGTCTGTCATTAGCTTCAACATCTGCAATTATCCATATCTGGTTATTAACATGTTATCTCTACACTCCTCCTCCTCTACCCCCACATCCTCTGAAATGGAAACTGGGAGACTGAGATTTTTAAAGTGATCGTTATTTTAGTAGCAGCTGGTTCTTAACAGCCCTGGGTTTGTGACAGAGGCGACAGGATCCATTTCTGCGGCTACACTGTCCTAATTATAACCCTAATGGATCACAAGTTTAGGTATAGAGGGATGTCACACGTTGCAGTGTCTGCAGGGCAGCATTTGATGGTACCCTGGGAAACATCTAAATGTTAACATGTGTAGCCAGTGAGTTTACTGTCATCAGTTAACCAAGCAGCGAGTGTGTGCCCCTGTGGCTCCCTGGCCCACATTTCATCCACGCTCTGCTGTTTTTCTCCTGCAGGGTTATTTCCTGAGTAAAGCCCAGAGTTTGTGATTTCCCCAGCAGAGAGCTCTGTTCTGACTTCCCTAAAGAGGCACTTTCACCTGCTGGGCTAGTGCTTTTCTGCTTCCAGTCAATCTGTTAAGATTTTAGCAGAAGATTCTTGGATACCTTTCCACAAAACATATGGGCAATTGTAATTACTTTGGCCTGGTACAATTTTAGAATTGAGAGAGCAAGGAAGAGGTGCAAATCTTCTGTTCATAAATAACCAAATCTGAGGGCATTTTAAAAGGCATTCTGTGCAGGAGGAGAATTTATGTGCCACATTTCACCCTTGGCACACTTTCCAAACGAATTGTTCAAAGGGAAGTTATATTAGGACAAATAGAAATGATGAGCGAGACCAGATGTGGATTTTTAGTTAATATTTATGCAACACCCAAAGGGAAGATGGTATTGCACAATAAACTAAAAATGTCGTAGGCAAATAAGGAAATCTCTACCCTGAGGAACTGGCACTGCAAAGGTATGAATTATACAACAAAGAACAGGGAATGCAAAACAAATGCAGGGTAGGTTGGGGCAAATATAAGAAAGAATTCATTGAGGAAGTGGTGAGGTAGCACATGTGTGGAACCTACTTTGGGAAAATAAGGGCTTAGCACTTTTTTGGCCTATCTCTCTCTTGTCTAAGGTAGAAAACTCAAGCCAACAGCGTAATTTCCTTCATCTGTGGAGACCAACAGTAGCTTTAAATCGAACATATATATAAATTTAGAACAAAGAAGCAATCTTGCAATGGGTAAATGCACCTTAATAAACTAAAAAGCAATGTTCCCAGATTTGAAAAGATCTCCAAGGATAGAGATGACATCTTTAATCTGATTTTCCCTCCCAAAGTTGTTCAAGGAAGGCAGAAAATGCAGGCATTGGCTGATTCTCAGCTCTTGGCAAACATTCTGAAAGCATCCAAGGCTTAATGCATTGGTAGACTATTGAGACCTACATTAAATTATAACAGGAAAATTTGTTAAAAGCAACTGGATTTCTCAAACACAGCTGGATTTCAGCCTTCCATTCATCAGGGATGGCATGATGTGCATTTCTCACAGTCTTCTAAGGCTTCCAATTCCAAGGAGTTGGGGGTAGGGAGAGGAGAAAAGAAGGTAGAGACATGCAGAAAAATTTTACTTAAAACTATTGGAGTCTTGAGAATGCAGACAGCTCTGGAAAATGCTTAGAAGTTTTTTTAGCATGCTGATTCCAAATCTCTCTATTTTTATGCCTCTGAGACCCCTTAGTTATTTAAGAGCACTGTCTGTGTGTGACTTCCCACCACAGGGTTTCCTGCAGAGTCCGTGCATTCTTAAGAATTTTTAACTTCCTTCTTCCTTCTTGGGTAATCAGGGCCAAATGAGGGCCTGGCTGGCCATGGTAGGAATTAGAATTTTATTTGATGTGTCAAAGAGGAAGTTACTGAATATTTTTAAGTAGGGAGATTGTAGGTTTTCAATCTTCCTTCTAATGCTTGAAAGTTAAGACTCGGGGGTGGGGAAAATTGCAGGAGTAAAACCAAGGAGACCCTTTGAAGGCTACAGGCAGGAAATGAGGGTAGCTTTGACTAGGCTTGGAGCAGGGTGGTTATGAAGGTTTATGTTTTGGGGGTAAACATCTAGGTTTTAGTTAACAAGTAAAAGGAAAGAAGGAAACTGGACACTATAATAATAGTAACAGCTCACATTTCCATCGCACTTTGGACTCTTCCCGGTGTTTTGCACAGGTTAACTACTTTAATCTTCAAAATGTCAGGACCATTGATAGGTATTATCATCATCCCTGTTCTTTAGGTGAGAAAACTGAGGCTCACAGAGGCTAAGTGACTGGCCAGAGGTTGCCCAGGCAGACAGCAGAGTGGGGACTCAAGCTCCCAGGCTGCTCTTCCTCCAGTGCTCTGGGATGTCACACAGGTGCAGGGGACCTTGATGGGTAAATTGATAGCATTAAAAAAAAAACTTTTCAACAGTGAGCAGAGGTTATGGAGTTAAAAAAAAACAAAACAGAACGTAAAAGGTCAGTCTCTGCCTTTAAAGATACAATTCCGTTCTATGTAAGTTTAGGTATGTTTTTCTCCGGACACAAAAATAGGACACAAAAATATTCATCATTTCGTGTGTGTCTATACGGATTTCCTTGTGAAATTGGGAAAAGACGGAGGTTTGTTTCACAGACCCAAACCACGGTGTTTGCGTTTCAGGTCACTGCCAGACATCCAGGGGCTCAATTTCTCGCTGAAGTTTTGGAGAGCCTATCTGTTGGTGGCTGCGCCCCTGGTCCGGGTGGAAGTGGGGGGTGGGGGCACCATCCGCTCTGCACAGGCCGGCTTTCCACGCCTTGTGGTTGCCATGCAGCAGGGGGCGCTGCAGTAATGTTCATCTCCGTCCAAGGGAGCCACTAGTCCGCCAGAAAGGGGCCAAGTCCGGAGGTGTGGCAGGCAGCCCGCTGTCCTCTTTGGTCTTGCCACTTAAGTACCCAGAACTCGTTCTACACAGGCCATTCTTCGACACCGTATTTCATCAGGTTGGACGCCTTCCATCCAGTCCTGCATCCGGCGGAAAGGAATGGACACTAGCTTCCCGCTTTCCTGGCTGTGAGGACAGCGCTGTACTGTGCTGCGGGGCGCCTTTCTTCTTTGCGTCTCAGGGTCAGCCTGACAGTCCCTCTGAAACCACGACAGGCCCCCCTCAGCTGCAGTGCTGCGAGTGCGCCCACGAGTTTCTTTCCTCTTTGGTAGTCCTTTCTTTTTAACCCGACTGCGGGGACGTTTCCCTCCCCGCACGTCTTTCCACTGACATTCGCGACCACGGCGGGCTCGGAGCCGAACTCTCTCCTTCCTAAAACGCCCCCCAACCCTCCAATACCCCCGCCGCCATTTCGGTCCCGCACTGGGAGCGCGTGTGCGGCCAGCACGGCTGCAGCGCTCGTCAGACCTGCGCCTCCTCTCCGGTCCCCGTTCTCCCTCCAGCTATCCGACTGAGGCCCGGCGCCGCCAGGCACGCACCGCGCCGGGGCCGAGATCCAGCCGTTGCCGGGAGCAGCCGGGCAAGCGGCGGGCGCGCCGCGTCCTGCTCGGGGGCGCTTCTCCTCCAGTTCTCACCCTCGGGGCTGTCTCCCCGCAGCCGCCCGGGGGCCCCGGGGGCTTTCCGAGGGTGACAGAGCCAGAGGGGGGCGGAAGGAGGCGGGAGGAGCTTCGGGCCTGGGGCCTGGGCGGGGCCTCCGCGGGGGCGGGGCGTCGGGGAGGAGGAGTCGGGCGGGGAAGGGGAGGGCCGGGCCGCGATGGAGGCCGGCCGCGCAGGCGTGGGGGGCCGTGCCGAGCCCCACGCGGGAGCTCCCGGCGTCTCCAGCCGCCTCTCCTCACTTCACTGGAGAAGGGGCTGCGGCCGCGCGGGCGCCAGTACAGAGTGAATGAGCCGCAGCCGCCTCGGCGGCCGGAGTCAGCGGGAGCGGCCCGAGAGCCGCGCGCCGGGTGGCGGCGAGGGGCGGCGGTCCGCCTCGTCCCTCCCAGCCGCCCCTTTCTCTCTCTTCTTCCAGCCGGTCCCCGAGCCCGGCCGGCCCGGTTCCTCTGCCCCCGTCCCGCCCTCTCCCTCCTCCTCCTCCTCCGAGTCCCGGTCCTTACCTCGGGCGCTCCGACCTGCCATGGGTTAGGGTGCGGGCCGCGAGCCGCGCGGAGCACCAGCCCTGCGCTTCCGCCGAGGGGCGCGGAGCCCGAACGCCCTCGCCGCTCGCGGGCGCCGGGCATGGGGAGCGCGGTGTGAGCCGCACCGGAGAGGGCGCCGAGCAGGAGGTGGAGAGCGGTGGAGTGGAAGGACCCGAGGGAGCAAGAGGGGGCGCGGAGACAGGCTGGGGAAGCGAGGGAAAAGTGACGCTGGGAGGACGAGGCTGCGGAAGGTGGGGATTGATGCTTCTGTTTTTTGTTCCCGCTGCTGCCCTCGCGCTGGGAGTCGAGCCGGAGGGAAGGCGGTGGAGAGATGATTGCAGAGTTGGTGAGCAGCGCTCTGGGGCTCGCCTTGTATCTCAACACCCTGAGTGCGGATTTCTGCTATGATGACAGGTAAGGAAGGGGTGACGGGCTGCGTGGGGACTCCGCGGTGGCTCCGAAGCTTCCCGCTGGAAGGCTGGCAGGGCGTCTCGGAGGAGCTGGTCTGGCACCTGCAGGTTTAGGAGACGCGTAAACAACCTCCAGCAAACACCTGGGACGCGAGCGCGCTGGGCGGGCTGAGGGAGTTTGGATTCCTAGTTTGCAGCAGGTTCTCTCTTGCTTCTCTGCTGCTGGATGCTTAAGTTTCTCAGCGGAAATCTCAGCAATGTGGGGAACTGTTAAATGAATGTATTAAAAATACCTTAGGTATTCCTCGGTGCGACAAAAGCATTTTGAGCGATTTTACGTCTGGGCTGGAAGGAAGCCGCTCCCCTCTCCTTAATAGATCTTCCCTGTAGCGTTTCCTTTTATTGATGGGACACTTTTATTTCCCGAGGTTAAAAACACACGTTTGACAGTTGCCAAAACAGTGGGAGGAGAGAATCTACTCTGCTTCTACTTTCCCATTTGACGTGTACTTGTACTTTGCTTTGAGCCAAGATAATGCTGCTGATGGGCCCTGCCGCTCCCCTGCCTCTCTTCCTAATCGATGGAGTAACACTTTATAAAAGCCTGGGCTTTCATTTCTCTCGGGAGTTTTACATTAGACGTTAGCGATTCTTTCGTACTAATTGGAGGAGACGCCCCTAGAGACTGAAGTTGTCTTTTACGTTCGGGCTCGTTGGGATGGCTAATGAGAGCTGATCTGTGTTGTCAAAGAAACTGCATTGATTTCTGGAAAATGTCACAGTTGTGCTCGCGTCTGTACCTATTTTTGAAACGTGTTAGTGTTTAGAAACTGATGAAAAGCTCCGATAGCCATTAGGGAAAATTCCAATTTGTGCCTTTCCGGTGACTTAATCTGCTTACAATTAAAACAAATGCATAATTAAAATATATTAGGGAGAACAGCACGCCTGGCTAAACTTATTAACTGTCCTGGGGTATTTCATGCTCCATTGAAATTAAACCATCCAAAAAGTGAGCACAAATTTACTTTGACAGCTTTTCAGCAGCCTCTCTGGTCATGGAAAGTGAATGGATCCCCAGGGTCAGGTCGAGGCAGTGAGTGAACTTAAGCGAAGCGGTTGATAGTGAGGGGAGGTGAAGCCAGACCTTCTCCTGGTGGCAGTTAGCTGTATTCTGTATTCTCCCGTGTTCCCACTCGCCCGCTGAAAGCGTGGTCATGGATGCATGCCTTAAGTCCCTGGCCCTTGGTTGACATCCACATGTCTTTTATGAAATCTCCTGGTAATAGGTACAAGAACATCTCGCAAGCCCTTTGTACAGCATTTTATGTACTATCAGGGACATCAGTTGATAGGAAGCCACTGTTAGACAAACTTTTCCTCAACTTTTAAGCAATATACAGATTTGAGCAATGATGCGACATGCTCTAAGAAATAAATGAGCTGTAAGAGTGAAGTGAGCTGCTTCTGTTCCCTCCAACTTTGTGTTACTGTGCACCTGCTATTTCTAGGGTATTGGCGGAAAAAAACTCCTGTTTCCACACAGGTGACTTTTCACTAAACTGAGCTCAGGGATGAAATCTGGACAGTTACTGGTTCTGTTGGGGTCAGTTTGAATAGTAAGCATTTAAACCAAGAATATAGAGCTATTCTTTATTGCTGTCCAGCTCTTTAAAAAGTACATGTCAAGATTATCATGTAAAGGTTAAGGCTCTAACTAAATTTGCATGTACTTTTTCCTATAGATGTAATGCTTATTTTGTGTTCCTTCATCATCAATCAGAAGTGTCAGCACTTTGTAATTTGGGGAGAATGATGTGAGTATGATAATAAATTAGTTGCGGTTTGATGATTGGCAGTTGTTATAAGTTCTTTGCATGCTACCAATGGAACAGAGGGTCAAAATTTCTCATGTCTACCTAGCTACATAGATGACTTTAATGAGATGATTTACCCATATCTAATTGATGAACTGCTTACTGTATGATATGTAGACATTATATAGTGAAAGGCTGTTAAGGACCTGAAAATATAAATTACAATTTGCTACAACTTAAAAAATATATTTCTCTAATTTCCTTAGTAGCAGAACTGCATATGCAATCACTGCTCTTAGTGGTATGAAAACTTCAGAGTATCCACCTTGGTTTTTAATGTATCCTAGAAATGATGAAATATAAATAGGAGCATGGAGTTTACGTGATAACTGCAGAGCTTGTTCAGGGGATTCAGTGCCAAGGTACACTGTAAATTGTTGCTTTTCAGATACACTAACTACTCTAACTCAGAGCGGGAAGAGAGTGGGAGTCAAGTGGAAACTGTAGGATGATAATATATTTTTCACCACTTGGTTTCAGACTACAAAGGCTCAAGATGTAAAACGTTTAAACTACATGGGTGGATTCCACTGCCCCCCTACCCCAGTAACTTTTATAAAATATAGTTCTGTCTGGACAGGTCAGTGCTGGAAGTGAAAGAGCAGCTCTGGAGAAGGAGATGGTTCTTAGGCTTGACTTGATTAACTAAATCAAGACTGCATTTCAGCTGAAGGATCTGGCATTTACTCTAGGCAGGCTTTATAGTGCTTCAGCTTAAACATTATTGCTGTGGTATTTCTCCAAGTTATCATTTCTTTTAAATACAGTGATCAAGTTTACTTTATAACTATATATATAATTACTTTTACCATTGATGTAGCTTGGTTGAGATTAAGTGGTAATCTGAAACTTTCTTATAACAAAATCAATTTCCCTATGGTAAAATGTAATATTTTACAAGTGTTTCTGGGCTGAATTTAAGACTATGGCCATGAGGTGATGAAACAAACAATAGAAGAGTGGAACTCACCATATCTGATGAGAAAGCATATATGGTTTCAGCTTCATCCTTTTCCCCTGCCTACAGTCTAGTAATGAATGTACTGAATCTTAAGTTGTGGTCAGAATAAAATTGGAATGATAAACATGCAGTCTTTGCCAGATTTTAAGTCGTGTTACATATGACTTCTTAAAGGATCCTCTCATTTTCTGGAGAAATTTTGTGTTTAGGTCAGTGGAAAAAACTTGCTGACCCCAAATTCTCCGCTCTCTTATGTATTTATTGAGGATAACTGCATCATTTGCCCTTCACCCTGTATAAAAATACTGTTACAAGTTTTGCATGGAGATAACAATAAAAGAGGAGTTGATTTACTTCAGGGTAACAGAGTAAATCATAACTGTTTTGTAGTTTGATTTCATTTTGCACATATTATCTAATTGACAGCCTGGCTTTTATGATATATAACAAGTAAATAAGATAGCGCAACTAATACATGTTTTTATTCTCATGTGAGTAAGATAATGTGTTAATTAAATAAAAGACAATTAGAGTTTCTGAAAGTGGGAAATGGGTTGTGGCTACTTTGAAAATTTTTATCTTATTTGCCAATTTTGCATTTTTTTGACACAATTATGATCATTAATTTTTAGGTTTAGGTTTCTTAACTCTTCCCTTGTGCAATAACTGTGTAAAACTTGGAGAAACAATTCCATAGCAGAAATAGCACATTTCTACTTTAGTTACTCATTTGGGTGTAAATGTAAATATCAGTTTTTATAGAAACACTAAGAATTTTTTCCTTAAAGTCATAAAAATTTGGATGAACCGTATTTAAAATGAAGGAACAGAGGATTTAGGTCATGTTAAATTTTTAAAAACTTTAGTCTTTTTGTAGAGATATTCTACTGTTCCTTCTACTTTGTCTTCAAGTGTTATTGTCAGTTTGAGTTTTTGACCTGGTATGATAAGAATCCCATGTGAAATGATAAATCTCTCTGTTAACTTTCTTCCAAAATGTTTTCTGTAATAGACTTGCCTTGGACCAATCTGGGATTGTTATCTTAAAATTCTAGTCCGTTCAGCCATTGAAGGCATGCCTGGTATTTAGCAGAAACATGTTTAGAAGGAATTACTACAAAGTCAAAGTAAATAAGGGAGAAATATGCTTTGTATCAAAGGTTGTCTCATCATGTTTTTAGTGCAAGAAGTCAGTGCAGACCAGTGTTACTTTACTCTAATTTCCTTCCCAGTTTATTATAATACACTGAAATATGCAAGTGAATGTAATTTATAGTCTATGAAATATTTTATGTGATGTTTTATTTTCTAGCTCAGTTTTGTTTAATAAAATCTGTGTGGAGAAGGTTCATTTTGCTGTTTGAACAAGTACATCTCTTAACAGTAAATGAAAATTAAAATTAAGGGAAGCCAGTGTGGACCACTTTGCATTACCTCCAGTGAGCCTGTCACATGGCGTTTATCCTAGCAAATGACCCAGATACAAGCATTGAATGGATATGTGCAAATGCCGTAGGGAAATTGCTGGCCAGCCATCTGTCTTTTAGTTATTTTCATATTATGTATACACACACATACACACACACATGAAAAATTGGGGGCCTGCATTATTATATTATTAATTTACATTATGTTATCATCCACACAGTTTTTCAGTGCCAATGTGCCCCTACGGTAACACCGAGTTCCCTGCTGCTGTAATTCTGAAATAGCCACAACTGTTTGGATTCCAATGAGTTAGGAGCACAGTCTTCCTAATCTCTTTGTAACTGTTCAGCACAAAGACATTTGTTTAAAATGCCCATGGTGGTGCAGCTGTTTATCATAGGGGAAGGGTACATTTTCTCTAAAACAAACACCTTCATAAGATTAGGAAAGGACGAAGTTTACCCTTCAGGCACTCTGAAAAATCTGTGCCTGACAAAACTACTTTCTAATAACTTTATTTTTCTCACCCAACTTACTTTTAACATAGTAACATTCATCTTTAAAACTTTTTTTGATCCTCTCTTGGGAGCTAAATACTGTATCAGCCTCGGGTGCTTAGTTTAATAGCTTCGTGAAAGTGACATTGGCGGCAGCCCAATGGAAAGCACAAGTGGGTTGTTGAATGTAAAGACCTCTCTCCTCTGTGAATAGCTGTCCTCACTTAGAGCCTAGCTGAAA